GAGGAGGGAGCAAGTCAGAAAGTGGAGACAAAAGCAGACGATGAACATTGTTAGAGAACAGGAAAGGATGTAAAAGGAGAAAATTTAGAGAAGAAAATTTTCTGTCGCTATCCAGATTCGAACCCGGGACCATTGAATGAGAGGCGAGCACCTTAACCTATTGGCCACGAGAGCCCCCAACTTTAAAAAAAACAACTGTAGTCAACTCCCTTTTGTTTCTATCTGTTGACAAAGAATCTGGCAAAGTAGAAGAGAACTGACTCTGGGGACAACACAGTTTCGTCTTTTAAAGGAGCCTTTAAGCTTAATAAGTTGTTAAACGTTTTTAAAACCATATAGATTTTTCCAAAGGACGTAAAATTCGAAATAATGATCACACCTCTTTTTCTCTCTCATGAACAATTTCGGGGGTTTTTTTCAATTTCCTCTGGGGTTCTCATTTGTTTAATATGCCTGTCCAGACGAAATGCAGAAAAGATCACACTAATGCGGTTCGCTGAGAGATCTACATCATTTTAGATACGCATTGGACTCATTAAGCCTCATTTGCAAGTCGGGAAAAGGATGCGCTGGATTAGAAAAAAATTTGCGTATCTTGGTACAGATTCTGACGTGTTCTCATGTAGAGAGATTCTTTAGAGCATGAAGCAAGCGGAGTACGAGTTGCAATCAAATGTTGTAAAGTGTAAACTTGGATGAGTCGATGATATATAGTTTAAGTAAAGAGCTTGACCATTTGAGACTGATTGCAGTCAACCCTGTTTCACCCGTTACATATTCCTACCGATTAGGTTCATACGATGCAGACCCTCTGTGTTTCGTGTTCATTTTAATCAAGATCTCAGAGTAAAGTCACTGGGCTTAAGACTACTTTATGACCACCTGAGAGCTTTATTTGTCAACCGTCCTGTTTACTTTACCACTTTCTAGGTCTCTTCTTCAATGACTGTAACTCTACTTTTGTATTTCTGCCTGAATTTTTTTTTCGCGAACAAAAATTCAGTAGGTGAGCTCGCAAAGAAACCCCCAAAAATTTGCTCAGAAAGCCTCACTCTATTAACAATAACGGTACGTTTAAGCGACACAAAGAGAAACAAGTTTCGACTGCTATGGGAAAGCTCGTGAAACACTTTTGTTCTGATAGCCCCCGTCTGATAACAATATAGCAGTTTATAAAAAGAGAGAGGGGGCAGTGGTTGTTGTTTTTATGTTTAGGCTTTAAACCTATTCAAAAGATAAGAAAACAGACAAAGAATGCATTTGTACTGATTGAAATTAGCTTTACTTATGTCTACCCTTGTGAGCTATTTCTCAGAAAGAACTCTAGAAAAAAGCAATACTTTACAGGACAATGTTAGTTTTACAGATAAGTTGAAAGTCAATTCCAATATCTGCTTCAATATTACAGCCAATTGTGTTCTTTGCCCTTTGTTTAATTGTTTGTTGGGGTTTGTTTTATTTGCTGGCCTTTTCAAGCTTTTTCGCACCGGGAGGGGGTGGGGGTGGGTGCGTTTCTAAAAAGCCATCTGGAACGCCAAGACTGGGTTCTCAAGCGTATTATTATTATTTCTTTTGTGATGCGACAAATTTGACACTCCTCTTTATTGAACTTTACTGGAAGTTTTCCTTAAACTGCTCTGTTTTTATTCTTCTAGTTTTGTGTTTAATTAGTTAAAAATTCTGTCTTCTTTTAGGCAGATAATTCTTCTCTTCCTCAACTTGTGAAATAATCGCCTCTGCTTCAAATGACTTTTTCTTCAAGAAACCGAAAAGCGAGAATTGCTCAGGCATAAAGAAGGAATTTAGTTCGTATTAGTTCAACCAATAGGTGCGATAGGAATACTACTGGCAAGAGATTTCCACCAAGCTTTAATACATCCGTTGCTGTAGGCTTTTACAATCATCACACTCTCACACACACACACACACACACACACACACACACACACACACACACACACACACATACACATACACAAACCCAGCATTACACAAACGCACACACACACACACACACACACACACACACACTCACACACACACACACACACACACACTCACACACACACATTCAAAGAAAAATATCTGCGGAGTTTTCGTGTCTATCTGTGTATCAAGCACTAAAACACAAATTTTAATATAGGCCCTGTCTCCTTTACCTATACGTTCTCCTTCTCCCCACCCCCTCGCCCTTCCTCAAACCAGCCAGTTTGGGTGGGAAAACGAAGGTATCGAGCACGTTCCTATGTGCCCTGCCCAAGTTAATACGACAGAAAGTAAATTGTAAAATTAATTTGCTTACATTGATAAATCACTTTCCTTTGCCTTTTCTGCCGTCTTTCAGTTATCCCTTTTTCGATTTTTTATTATGATTTCTCTCTCTCTCTCTCTCTCTCTCTCTCTCTCTCTTTCTCTCTCTCTCTCTTTCTCTCTCTCTTTCTCTCTCTCGCTCTTCCTTTCCACTCTTCCTTTCCACTCTTCCCTCCCCACGACACATTCTGACGAACTGATCGCTTTTTATGTCTCTCAAAGATACTACAAAGAAAGAAGAGATCTTGGAACAAGAACACAAAGCCACCCCCAAAGTTTCCTCTCGTAGGGGAAAGGTTGGGTGGGGGGGGGGGGCAGGGAGGTGGGCGTGAGAATCTTTCCTGTGTCTCATTTCTCGATCTTCTTTTTTATTTGATTTGATCTTATTACAGCTGACGCCACACCCAAATTCACGACTTCCTGAGCCTTCTTTATAGGGTGTTAATTGATAATTTCGTCGTTGCCTTTGGCATTCTTGACTAAAAAATTCGAAGGTCACATACTTGTCAGTTAAATATTTCCTCCGGCTTGAAAGAAAAATCGTACACGAATAATGTCACTCATGGCACGGACTTCTTTTATTTTATTCGCTTTTTTTTTCTTTTACATTTTTTTTCAGCCAAAGTGACAACTAGAAGAATATTGCAAATATAGGTTAATGAAATTTTTATGCCACGGAGTTTTAGGAATACTATCATTAGTCTTCTAAGTCTCTTTGAATCGCTGAAACGTCAATATGACATTGAAATTGCTCTTCATCGCTTCCTCCCCTCCCCCCTCCCCATGCCACTAATACCCCAATATCTTTTTAGTGACCAAATCCAATTCCACCTTCAACTTTTCTACAGGACCAGGCAGGCTTCAAGTTAGAATGCTCCCCTTGTCGTACATAACTCAGTGTCAATAACAATGACTCTATTCCGTCAAGATTACTATTTCATATTATTTTCCGAAAATTCATTGTCTGCGAATAGCATTGCCTCAACAGTAACACCTAATCAAATGCCTCGAGATAGTTTTTCAGAGTCAAAAGGATATTTAGAAAAGAGATGATGATACAAAGACTGACAAACAGACAGATAGACAAATAAACACGAAGATTTCGCACTTATATGACCTGATTGTTTTATTAGTGACGTAAACTCGTACTAAGACTAAACACTAAAAAACATACAGTGCATGTGTGTGTTCACTATATTTTTGCAACCTGCGGTATTATAATGTATTTATACTGTAGGATTTTGACACACAGACGAAACCCCTCTTTCAATGTGGGATCGAAGTGGGAGGGGAGGAGTGACGGAGAAAAGATTTGAATAGTTTGATATTCACCATATTATGCATTTTCAAAACTGTCCTCAAGTTCGGGAAATGTACTTTAAATGATGTTGCAAAGAAGAAAAGCCACTGATGCATACTACGCTTGACCTGCTCGATATTGGTTTAAAATGTTGAAAATTCCACTATTCAAATAAAGAAACAATCTAAAAATGCTATAACAACCAGGGAAAGCTAAATCAAATAACTCTGCAGCAACCGAAGCGCTAGTGATCTGCACTTTGCGATTTAGTAGTTGAGACAAATCCGACTTCTGGCCATGTAAAACCTTTCCAACCTGACATCAAAGCACGATGGAAGAGTATTGCTGAGTAAGGCAACAAATCTAATGCAAATCTAATGCAGAGATTTTATTACAAGCTTTGATTCTGATTCTGATCTGTTTACCATCTTACAATATTTGATCTGTTAAGTGACCTAGACGTTAGAGCATTCTTTCTTTACTCTGAACATTCAGTTTCGCCCGAATAATCATTTGAGCTAGCATACGTCGCACTAACGTATAAATTAGCTCTGGCTTATTGTTGATCGGTGGGGGAAAATGTCATGTTTTTCGTGGGGGGGGGGGGTTCAAATTGATTTTTATTTCCTTTTTGCAAGCTCAAAATTAATCTTTTTTATCGTTTAACAATCACGAGACGTAAAAGTATAAACATTTAATAAATAGCAATACAATTTTACTCCCCGCAATTGATTCAGTATGCCAAGTAAGCAAACCTTGTTTTAATTCTGATACTTAGACTATTTGATTACTGAAAATGTAAATTACACTGCAGTGCTATATTTTCAACTGATTCAGTGTGATGCTCCTTTCGTAATTGTGGGCGGATTGTAGGCGTATTGTGGGCGTATGTTTTAGTTCGTGTTTTACAGAACTGGCAACACAATTAGGTCATACAAGTACCAAAGATTATGTGAGTTACAAGAGAGGTACAAACACAAAAATAAGGAAAAGAGTTAAGGACGATAGAGGTTTGGTAGGACAGAAGGCACAAATCACACCAGGGGATCCGCCAACCACCCACTCTTGTGAGCTTATATTCCAGAATAGAATACTAATTGATTCAATTTTTCCTTTCAAACCCTCAAAACGAGATTCTGATTCTACTACCTCTTAAAAGAACTGAAGTATCCTAATCTGTTCCTTGTAAAATCTAGTTCATTTCATGCTATCAACAGCAACAACAACAATAACAACAAAAAGAAGTACAACAACAATAGCAAAAGCAACAACAATAATAACAGCAACAACAACAACAACAACAACAACAATAGCAAAATCAACTACAACTTTAACGTTTTAATAAATTTGCCGTTGACTTGATCCTTATTTTTTACTTTTTTTCCCTCAGAACTCCCAGAATCGATTTACAACGAGGAGTTCCTGAAGCCGCTTATCTTCAAACACGCCACAAATTCTAATGGCACTGCTCTTATTGGAATCGACTCCCAACGTGATAAAGTTATGCCCCTGGCTGCCACTGTAGTTCTTCTGGCAGCCTATAGCGTCCTTTGCGTCATCTCCACCTTTGGAAACTCTCTCGTCTGTTACGTCATTTTCAAAAACAAGCGTCTACACACGGCGACCAACTACTTTATTGCCAATTTAGCGATCAGCGATCTTCTCGTCACTTTCGTGAACGTGCCTTTCAACATCTCTCGGAGTTTGCTGGTGGATTGGCCGTTCGGAGAGGTGCCATGCCATCTGGTCAACTATTCCCTCGTTCTCACTTGTTATGTGTCCACGTACACTCTCACCTCAATTGCACTAGATCGGCACAGGGTGGTGCTGAAGCCACTGTCAAGAAGAATGTCTAGAAAGTTTGCTGTAAGTATTCTCATTCTGATCTGGGCTGTGGCGATATGCCTCTCGTTGCCGTACGGCATGTACATGCGAGTGCTTAAAGTGAAATTTCTTATCACCACCGAGTTCCGACGTTGCCGGTTCATCGGTCCTAAGCCGTGGAGGGATTTCGAAAAGTTTCTTACGGTTACTACCTTCATCCTGCAGTATTGCGTGCCCTTCAGTTTGATAGCTATTGCGTACGGACGTATTGTGCAGAGCCTGTGGGCTCGAACCCACGTTGGAGCCGTCACGGCCAACCAGCAGCTGTCACAAGCCAAAGCCAAAAGGAAAAGCATCAAGCTCCTCATCGCTGTGGTCATTGTGTTCGCAATCTGCTGGCTGCCACTCAACATGTACCACCTGCTGACCGACCTTCACCCCAAGCCTGAGATGTTTCAGTACAATACGTTGGCCTTCTTTGCCTGCCACTGGGTGGCTATCAGTAGCACATGCTATAATCCGTTTGTGTATTGTTGGCTCAACGAGAATTTCCGGGAAGAGGTCAAATCGAGGTTCAGCTGCCTCTTCCGTCTGCCATGTGGCCGCGGGCTTCGCTCCGACTCCGCGTCCACAAAACTGGAGGGGAACTACAGGAAAGTGAAGAACGGACAGGGCAGCGTGGCCGCCTCAAGCGTGCTCAACCGCAGCGTCCGACGAGATCCGAACACCACCGCTACCGAGATTTTGAAAAATAACGTGTGTAGCACGCACAAGTGTAAAGAGTGTGACGTCATGGGCGTCCATAACAACATCACACCCACGGTTGATGACGACGATATGAATACAGACTTCACGGATGAAGCAGCTCAGGGGTTGATCCTAACCATCGAATGCAACGGCCAAGGCACTGCTACGTATCAGAATGGAATACGCCGTATCTGATCAGTGTACAGAGGATGTGAAATTCCGTTTTGAAAAAAAATATTGATAGTGTAGGAAAGGTTTCATGCTGAGCCATGTTGTAGTCCGACACTATGACGTTTCATGACGCTAGTATCCTTTCCAATCCAACGGATTTTGTTATGCTCAAACATGAAACAGAAAAGTTAAAGCGATAAAAACACAAACATGATGGGTTTAAAACGTCATTTTGATTGGGGTCGTTGGTCAAAAAAGTAGTGTGATAGTATACTTATATAAGTAAGCATTTATCGATCTATGTACGTGTGTATGTGAGTGCGTGCGTATGTCTCTTGTCGTGTGTATGTGTTCATGTGTGAGTACATGACTGTGTGTATGTGTGTGTTTGTTTGTTTGTATATGTAGGTGTGTGTATGACAGTGTGATAGTATTTGTTTGTGTGTGTGTGTGCGTGTGTGTGGTTTTGTGTGTGTGTGTGTGAGTGTGTGTGTGAGTGTGTGTGTGTGTGTGTGTGTGTGTGTGTGTGTGTGTGTGTGTGTGTGTGTGTGTGTGTGTGTGTGTGGACCATTTTAGTGATTTCACCCCCGCCATCCTTAGCTGTGAGTGAGGCACAGATCTTAGTTCATTATCTCTCGTTCCACATTCTCTTTAAATGTACTTATCGGTACATTATTGTCTAAATATATTATGTTTGCCAACAGCTGTAGAGTTTAATACTGTATGGAGGACAGATCTCTATTACAAATTCTTTCCACTGGAATTTGTTTAAGATCGTTCTGGGTCGCAAGGCAGGAAAATGGCACAGACAATCCAGTGACGGAAAATGATCTCACTGGCTAAAACGCAGAAGGATAAAGTTTAAATGACCCAAATATCTGGGAAGCGTTTAAATCAGAGCTCTTTTATTATAAAACTCCACTTTGGGAACACAGTGTATCACTGACAGTTTTCGTTTTGCCCTGCGACTTTGCGTAATTCATTTTGGTTATGATAGACATCTGATTCGTAGCACATACATAGTGTCAGTACGAAGATGGAAAATTCGTTTCGGTGTCTTTCTGATTCAGTGTTAAAGAGCCCTCGGCTTTGTGTGATTCAGGTAGGAACTTTTTACGTCCGGATCAAGAGGTGAGCATCTTTCTTACACGTACAAGAGATGGGATACAGCTGGACAGAGGTGGATACTATATCCCCAGGATAGAAGTACAAGGAGAATTCTTGTTGGTGGTCTATACTTCAGCCGGTATGGAGTGAGGAAAAAACTGCTGTTGCGGCTGCTGCTGATGATGGGGAGAAGGATCTCTATCTTACAACATCATGCTGTTCTCTTTCGTCGTGAGAGTCACAGAACGTTCAGAACTGTGACGAATCTGGGGATACATTTTGTTGAGATGTTAGATCGGTGGAGGCTGGACCACTAAGATCAGATAAGATAAGACAAGATAAGATAAGATAAGATAAGTCTTTATTGTCCAGATCCTAGCCCATTTGTTTGGTCTTTCCATCTCGTACACAACGCACCACGTGCTCACACCCTTGCATACAAGTTCTCTCTCATATCCTCTCCTATACTCATATTAGTGCACATAAACATAAAAAACAACAGAATGCTTGCAGTTGAGAAACAGGCTCACAGTCACATGAAAAATATTAATGAACATAGATAACATTAAAAATGATCAGGTAGACACTTTAATTAGCATTCTGATTGTAAAGCACTGATATCCCAAAATGCGTTGTATTTAAAAGACTCAACATAATAAGCTCAACACAATATTTTTTTATGTTTGTTGTTGAAGTTTACAAACTTTTTTTGATTTTTTAAAGTGAAAATAAAGACTAACGTATACTTATGCAGTACTTACAACTGACAGCATATTGCGAAACTGTGTACTGCGACGTCAGTGAGCGAAGAGAATTAGGTCAACTCGCTCTTAATCATGGCAGAAAGCAAACTGTTAATTGTCATTGTGCCCAGCTGAAAAAAGTATGCTTTTTCATTACCTCAACTTCTTTAAAATTTAGTACCAACAAATGCCGTGTTGCTGAACTATGTACGTATAACATTTTATCTTACGACGTCAGGCTTGTTATGTGATATAAAAGTATATTTCCTTTTATTAATGTACTTGTTAGCTTTTCCCCCTTGGTATATTAAATGGCGTGAATTGTCTCATTGTTATGCTGTTTAACATGAATGATATTGTAATTAATTACTATAAATCTAGAACAATTAAAAACAAATAAATAAAGATTTTTAATTGTTTTGTGTTTTTTACAATTGTTTGAAACTGAGCTTGTAACTTACCTGGAAGACAACAACCCAACCCCTCAGCCCTCACCCCCTCCTCGAACTCTGCCTCTTGAGAAAGAATAGCTTCCTCTTTGTTGGAGAATGCTTCTTTTTCCAGAGAGAGTATATGTAAAAAAAAATATTTAAAAAATAATAACTGCATCTTTCATAAAGCAACACATACGACTCACAACTTATGATTTGGAAGGGTCTTTTTAAATAAATGATCAAGATATATTCAAGGCAACGTAGCCCACAGCGATTTTTT